GAAATGTACAGCTCAGGGAGAAAAGTGGGAGACAAAGTTTTAAATGCGTCCTACCCGATCTGCCGATCTGGAATCCCAAATGGCACTCTGAGAGCTGGCCGCCAGCCAGGAGCCGTGAAGCCAGGAGGCGAGCAATAGCGAGCCCCCGCAAGGCCCACGTGTTTGGTTTTTATACCCAACCTGGCTGCTTAACTCCACCCTCAGGTCCCAGCCACCTTCCCTTTGGTGGTGACGGGATTTGTCTTTCCCAATGTCTTGATGGCTTTAGTCTGGAGTGGGGGTGGGGTCCACAAAGCCTGCATGGGATTAGCTCAGGACATCAATTCCCCCTAACAGTTACACAGGATGCAAGTCATAAAGTCTACTTGCTAGAAGACTAAAAATTTAGCTCAGAGCTTCCTAACAGCCAAAGCAAAGAAGGAAACACCATCTTCTGGAGATTTGCAGAGTCTATCACAGCACGGCTTTCATCTGTTTAGACTGCCGCACGTGGTAGTGGTGACTGCACTGGACAGCACAGTTGTATTCTATAGAACTGAACCCAGAGGATTAGACAAGCCTCTTCTTGATACTGGGCCCTGAGAAACTTCCACACAGATGATCACACTTGAGGTGAATGCAAAAGTCAGTTCCACGTGGGCGCTTTCCTTGCCTTGTATTCGTAATAACACGGGTTCTTCTAGGGCCTATGTCATGTGCTAAATTGTTTTCATGTTAATTCACTTGGTTCTCAAAACCACCCTAGAAGACAAGCTAGAGGCTGGGAGGTGGGCACAATCCACACCCCCAGAGCAGGTTCCTCCCTTCCCAGCTGTGAGGATGTCTATCCCATCTCCCTGCCTTCTGGGGAAAGCCAGGAGCCCAGGAAGCTGGCAGATAGGTAGATAAGGGCAGGAGGTGCAGAAGGAGGAAGGGTTCCCACATGACCCTCTTGCGGCCCCCAGGCTGACTCAGTGGAAAAAATGAGCAGTACCTGATGTCATTCCCTGGAACCAGAGGGCATCGGAGCTGCCCGCAGGAAGGCCCTGTTTTCACCTGCAGAACACACCTGCACTTGCTTTGACAAGGGATCTGGCAAAAAAAAAAAAGTCTCCTCTGGGGGGACCCTATGGGGGATCCCTGACATCCCTCTCCTTACAGGCTAATGCCTGGATCTCTTGAGCCTGCTAGACCCCTTGGGCTCGGGGCATGAAAGGAGGAGCAGACATGACCCCTCCACCCCCACTGCATCTGTGGCTGGGAAGCTGATGACTCCAGGGTCAGAAATAACCCTACAGTCAACTCCCCGCGTGCTCCACCCCCCATCCCCTCCATTCCCAGAGAGTCTGCGCCCTGAGTCAGAGGTTAGAGCCCAAAAGTAAACAAGGCCCCACTAGAACCACAGAACCACTTTATGGAATTTTTTGACAAATCAGGGACCTGTTGAAGAGCTGAGGCCTAGAAATTCAAAGGTCTTCCCCCCAAAATCCAGCTTCGCTCAGGGCTATATAGGCCTGAGCTGTGAGGAATGAGGAGGATAGATAATGGGGGGAGTCTTTAACGCAGAGGGAATGGGGAGGAGGGCTGGGCCTTGTTCTCAGAGGTGCTGGGGCTTAGGCCTGCCCTCATGGGGCACAGGGAACCACAGCTCAGGAATAGTCAGGGGCCAATGTGGAGAAGGGAGGGGGCTCATAGGATTACGGGCCGGCTGTCCAGGTGTCAGGTCACCCTCCTTATTCACTCCCTCAGAATAGTCTGGGCACTGGCACCCAAGACATGCCTGAGTCACTGAGCCCCATCCTCAGATCAGACGTGGATGAATGAAGCCCTCCCCCTCGTTCCTCTTGCCCTCCCCAGCAGAAAGGACATGTAACCAATTCCCCAGGATGGAAGAGGGACTTCCACAAGGCCTAAAAATAACCAAGCCACTTCATACTCTGAACTTAGCCTCCCCCGCCGCCCCCACCCTGGCCCACCCCCTAGCCAGCGAGATAAAGGCAGCTGCTAGGGCTGGCAGGGGACAGAGACCCAGAGCCAGGACCGCGACCTGACGGAGCCAGCAGAACGGGACCAATCGGACCAACCCAGCAGAGACGCTCAAGGACGAAAGACCCTCAGGCCATACCTGCCACAGACTTCCAAGCACCCCAACAGCCAGGTGGACCCCTTCGGTGAGCGAGCTGCCCCTCTGTCTTTCCATAGCATGGTGGGTTCTCCAGCTAGAACCTGGAGTCTCCTTGCAGGAGACTGTGCATCAGTGGAGGCCCTGGGGGAGTGGGAGGCTGACGGGCCTTGCAACTAGATGTAGGTGAGTGGCAGGACCTCTGGTACTGACTCCCCAAGGAAGTTAAAGGAGAGTCAGCTGAGCCCCGGGGGAGTTTTAGGAGTTGCCTGGAGTGGCTGCCACAGGATTGAGGCTTGCAGGGGGACAGGTTTGTGCTGGTAGGCATAATCCAGAAAGGCCTTCTGGAGGAGGTGACCTGTAATTGTGATTTCTAAACTATAGCTGTGGAGTCAAGGCTTCCTTCCACCAAGGAAGGGCCTGGCAGGTCCTGTGTCTGGAGCAAAGGGGGCTAGCAGAGAGGTGTCAGGACATGGGGCTTGAGGGTGATAAGCAGGCCCACTCTGCATTGCTAGGACAAGCCCCATGCCCAGCTGTTGTGGGTGAAAGTCTTGGCATATCTGCGACCAAGAATGTCTTCCCAGGGTTGGCCTGGGTCCAGGGCCCCACATATTGTAGCCTGGGAACTGGGGCAATGCTAGGCTCTTGCCCAGTAGGAAAGCCCTGGGCACAAGGGTGGGAAGGCAAAAGGGTGGGAGACCCTCCCCACAAGGGTGGGGAGACCAAATCTGAGTCTGGCCAGATATAGACACCGTGGAAGGGCTGGGTGAAGGAGGAACAAGCTTGGGGGCAAAGGTGTGGGCACTCTAAGAGACCCACCCAGCCTAGGAGACCAAACTCTGGGGGGCTTCTCAGGGGCCAAGTCCCCACCCTAAGTCTGTTCCCTGTTCTGAATTCTACCCTCACTTGCCTACTAGAAACTTAAGTTCCAGGGGTCTCAGGTTGGGTGGGTGTAGGGATGGGAAGGCCAGACGTCTTGAGACCTACTACTTCAAGGGATTTGCTCCTGCCTGGCAGAACCTCCTAGGACAGCTTCTGTGGTCCTATTTAGGCCTCAGTTTCCCCACCTGAACATTAAACAGGTTAGGGCAGCGACCTCTGAGGATCCTCAGACCTGCGTCCTTGCACCCCATGAGCTGATAGTTTGCAGCCACAGCAGGGATTCTGAAGATTCCTGGGGGTGGGGGTGGAGCCCGTGGACTGCACATGCCATCTGCTTGGGCCACACTGGTGGTGACAGGGGAGAAGGTGAGGACAGGCACTGTTTGCCTTTGGCAGGAGGTCCTCATTGGTGCTCAGAGACTAAAGGAAACATCCAGAGAGTGAGATGAAAATCGGGTTGCAAATTTTAGAGTTCACAGACCTCGGGCGCTGGTGTCTTTGGTGGGCATGCTGGGTGGGGTGAAGCAAGCAGGTCTCAGTTTCCTCCCTGTGTGAGGTAACCATAAGGAGGAAGTTCTGCCCCTACCTGCTGCCAGTATCCCTGCAACTCCCCCACCCACCACCACACACACACACCCCTCCAAGCCCTTTTGGTCAAGAGAAGGCTCCAGGCCCCAGCACCAGGCAAAGAGGAAGATGAGGTGGGACCCCGGGGCCCAGGGTCCCACTGGCTGAACCTGAGCCTTCCTCCCTCCTCAGCCAGACAGACCTCAGCTATATTTAGTGCTGAGCATGGAGCAGAGAGGGGGTCAGGGCAGCAGGAGGAGAAACATGCTTCTCGTTCCTTCCTGATTGGCCTCTGGGGACTGTTAGTACACCTGTCACGAGACAGAGACCACAGAAGGGCTTGAAGAGTGGGAGGCCACCGAGGAGGGGTAGGGAACGCTGGTGGGGCCGCCTGGGTAGAAGCTGATTGACTCCAAGAGGGAGGAAGAAGAGCAGCGTGGAGCCAGAGGGCACACGGCTGGGGGCTGGGCTCTTCACCAACAGGGGGCAGGGCTGCTCTGCAGAAAGGACCCCCAGCTCCACTGCCCGCCCTCCTTGTAGGTGTCACCCTAGCATTCCCCGGGGTGCCTGCTGAGAAATAGAGGGGCACCACAGTCAGGAAGAAAACTTCACGCCCTCTACCCTCTCATCTCTTGGGAGCCAGCCCCAAATAGGATGTAGGAACAGCACTGCTAGCCACTCATTTGACAAGACCTGACTCTTTCTGCACCTCAATTTCCTTATGTGTAATTGAGTGACTGGGCTAGGAGAGCCCTGAGTCCCCTGGCTCAGAATTTCTGAGCCCCCATCTGGGATTCAGAATCTGACTCTGCCTAACCATGAAGTACCTGGTGAACAGTTGCCACTCAATGAGCCTCACCTGCTTCCCCCCTGCATGGGCTGCTGGCCCTGTTCTGTCTCCTCGGGCTCAGGGAAAGGTTGGAGAGTGAACTGAGCGCCAAGAGGTGAAGGGTGGGCAGGAGCCCAGTGGAAGGGCAAGCGCGCCCTCTGCTGTCACAAGAGGGAATTTCCTCTTCATGGGAAATAATTACTCATTTACTTGGCTGCCACCCTCAAAGTTGGGATTCCCCAGGCCTTTCACTGGGGCGTCTGCCAGGGAAAAACTGATTTTGGTGAAGGAAAGTGAGGATGACACATGCCCAGTTTTCCCAGTGGAAGTTTCTGTGGAAAGAGTGTCATGGCCAGTAGTCTAGCAACCCAGGTGATTCTGGGGAAGTGGGACCCACCTTGATGGATGGCTCCCTATAGCCTAAGTTCAAGGCTTGCGACACATCAACCATGCAGGTCGCAGAGTGAGTTCCAGGTGAGATTTGAAAGGCTGGGGGCGGGGGGGATGCCTCTAAGTTGCATTTGCCACCACGGGACTACTCTGCCCTGAGCAGAGTAGGGGTGCTCCCTGCCATTTCTTCCAGCAACCAGCCTCCATTCCACCAAAGCCCCCCAGCCCTGCCCCAGTCCCGTCTTCATCTCTGCACTCTCTCCTCAGCAAGATGGCCAACGCCCAGACGCAGGTGGCCCTGACGCCAATCATCCCAATGGCGGCTGCAGAGGACCTGCCCTTCCCTCCACCACCAGCCCTGGAGGATCTGCCTCCACCACCTCCCAAGGAGTCCTTCTCCAAGTTCCACCAGCAGCGGCAAGCCAGTGAGCTCCGCCGCCTCTACAAGCACATCCACCCCGAGCTCCGCAAGAATCTGGCCGAGGCCGTGGCCGAGGACTTGGCGGAGGTCCTGGGTTCTGAGGAGCCCACTGAGGGTGACGTCCAGTGCATGCGCTGGATTTTTGAGAACTGGAGGCTGGATGCCATTGGGGACCATGAGAAGCCACCTGCCAAGGAGCCGGTGCCCAGTGGTGATGTCCAGGCCACTTCCCGCAAGTTTGAGGAAGGTTCCTTTGCCAACAGCATAGAACAGGAGTCAGCGGGACCTCGGCCATCCAGAGGGGATGTCCGTGCAGCCCGCTGGCTGTTTGAGACAAAACCGCTGGATGAGCTGACAGGCCAGGACGAGGCACCAGAGGCTACAGTGAGGGAGCCTGCAGCCAGTGGAGATGTCCAGGGTACCAGGATGCTCTTTGAGACGCGGCCGCTGGATCGCCTGGGCTCCCGCCCCTCCATCCAGGAGCAGAGCCCCTTGGAGCTTCGCTCAGAGATCCAGGAACTGAAGGGCGACGTGAAGAAGACTGTGAAGCTATTCCAAACAGAGCCTCTGTGTGCCATCCAGGATGCAGAGGGCGCTATCCATGAGGTCAAGGCCGCATGCCGGGAGGAGATCCACAGCAATGCAGTGAGGACAGCCCGCTGGCTCTTTGAGACCCAACCTCTGGATGCCATCAACAGGGACCCCAGCCAGGTGCGGGTGATCCGGGGGATCTCCCTGGAAGAGGGGTCCCGGCCTGATGTCAGTGCAACTCGCTGGATCTTTGAGACACAGCCCCTGGATGCCATCCGGGAGTTCGAGGTGGATGAGAAGGACTTTCAGCCATCCCCAGACCTCATCCCTCCTGGTCCAGATGTTCAGCAGCAGCGGCATCTGTTTGAAACCCGAGCACTAGACACTCTAAAGGGGGAAGAGACTGGAGCAGAGGTCCCTACCAAAGAGGAAGTGGTCCCTGGTGATGTCCGTTCCACCCTGTGGCTATTTGAGATGAAGCCCCTGGATACTCCCAGGGACAAGGTCCAAGTGGGTCACCTTCAGCGGGTGGGCCCCCGGGAGGGGGAAGGGCCCACAAATGAGCATCTATCCAGTGGTGTCCCCTCACTGTCCCTCTCTCAGAGTGCTCCCCAGAGGGATGGGGTGAAGGGAGACGTGAAGACCTTCAAGAACCTTTTTGAGACTCTCCCCCTGGACAGCATTGGGCAGGGCGAGCCTTCAGCCCATGGGAGCATGAGCAGAGCTGAAGGAGCTGATTCCGCAAGCCAGTTGCAGGACATAGGGTCCCCAGTCTATGCCATTCAGGATGGCAAAGGTCACCTCCACGCCCTGACCTCTGTCAGCAGAGAGCAGGTAGTTGGAGGTGACGTGCAGGGCTACAGGTGGATGTTTGAGACACAGCCCCTCGACCAACTGGGCAGAAGCCCTAGTACCATTGATGTGGTGCGGGGCATCACCCGGCAGGAAGTGGTGGCTGGAGACGTGGGCACTGCCCGCTGGCTCTTTGAGACCCAGCCCCTGGAGGTAATCCACCAGCGGGAGCAGCAGGAACGACAGGAAGGAGAGGCAAAAAGTCAGGGAGGCCCCCAGCCTGAGGCACCCCCAAAAGGCGACGTGAAGACCATCCGGTGGTTGTTTGAGACATGTCCCATGAGTGAGTTGGCAGAGAAGCAGGAGTCAGAGGTCACAGATCCCACAGCTAATACCAAGGCCAGGTCCTGCACCTGGATGTTCGCACCCCAAACCCTGGACAGGCCAGAAGGCTCTCGGGAGCAGCACCTGCAAGTTAACCAGGTCCTGGCTGGGGAAAGACAGACCGACAGACATGTGTTTGAGACTGAGCCTCTGCAGGCCACAGGCCGGCCCTGCGAAAGAGGACCCGTGCGGTACTGCAGCCGAGTGGATATCCCTTCAGGGCAGGTGTCTCGACAGAAGGAGGTCTTCCAGGCACTGGAGGCAGGCAAGAGGGAAGACCAGGTGTCCAGGGTCCTCCCTGAGCCCATCCCGACGGGCTCTGTGCACAAGTTCACCTGGCTCTTTGAGAATTGCCCAATGGGTTCCCTGGCAGCTGAGAGTGTCCGAGGGGGCAACCTTCAGGAAGAACAGTCTGGGGGTCCCTCAGACAACAAGGTGCCGGAGAGGCAGGAGACTGAAGCCGAGGGGACCCTGCGGATGCTGAACGCCACGCCTGGCATCCTGCACCGTGGAGGCATCCTCATGGAGGCTCGAGGCGGCGGGGAGCTCTGCCTTGCCAAGTATGTGCTCCCAGGCCCAGGGCAGGGGAGCCCCCACATACGGAAGGAAGAGCTGGTGATTGGTGAGCTTCCCAGAATAGTCCGTCAAGTGCTGCGCCGGCCAGACGTGGCTGAGGAGGGTCTGCTCGTGCAGGAGGACCCAAAGGGCCAGCTCCAGCTCAAGCCGCTGAGGCTGCCAGCCCCAGGCAGCAGCGGAAATCTTGAAGACATGGACCCTGAGTTCCAGCAGTTGCTGGCTTGTAGCCTTGGGGCCTCAGTGGCAAAGACAGGGCTGGTGATGCAGGAGACAGAGCAGGGTCTGGTTTCACTGACCGCCTACTCCCTGCAGCCCCGGCCAAATGGCAGGGCCCCTGAGAGAAGCAGCGTGCAGCTACTGGCCAGCTGTATAGACAAAGGAGACCTGAGCGGCCTACACAGTCTTCGGTGGGAACCACCAGCAGACTTGAGTCCCGTGCCAACCAGCGAGGGGGCCCAGAGGCTGCCCCCACCTGACAGCATCATCCATGTCCCCCTGCTGGACCCCAACATGGGGATGGGGCATCTGAGAGGCCCAGGGGCCACCCCTGGCCCTTCACAGGTGATGGGAAAGGCAGTCCTTCTGGCTGGGGAGGAAAAGCAGGAAGACAGGGGCACTGGGCAGAAAGGAACTGCAGCTTTGGGAAAATCGGAAGAAACCATGACGATGGCCCTGGGGCACAAGGCCCCAGACCTCCAGGCCGCCATGCAGAATCTACGGATGGCAACAGCCGAGGCCCAAAGCCTGCACCAGCAAGTTCTGAACAAGCACAAGCAGAACCCCACCCCAGCAGCCACCCCCGTGCCTTTTCAAGATGGTCTTCTGCCAGCAACAGCCATGACCACTGGGGCTGCCCAGAGCAACACCAAGCCTATGAATGGAGGTGCCTCTAGGATCCCAGCAGGCCCCAGAAAGGTCAGTGGGGAGCAGAAAGTTCTGCCTGATGGGCTGCCTGGGGGGTGGGTGGATGGCATCTATACTGCTCACCCCGTGAGGACATCTGACCTCCAATCTTCTGAGAGGGAACCCCAGTCAAAAGGCAAGGAGACCGCCCTCTTAGTCCAGGCTCCCAGTCTGCTCCAGGAAGGCCCAGGTCAGAGTCTTAGGCCAGGACGGGAGGAGCCTGGGGACTGCACAGAGAAGGCCACAGCAAGAGTCAGCGGAGGGAAGCTCCAAGCTGCAGAGACCACCTTAACAACTGCCGCTATAGCTCACCAGACTCCGGCCTCTGAGCCTCGGGCCGCAGGTGCCAACCTGCACTCCCATAATGCCTCTGTTCCTCCTCCTCCTCCTCTCTCAGCTGCTGTGACAAGACCAGACTTCCCAGCTGAAGCCCGCCATAACGAGGACTCCATCCAGCAGGCCTCTGAGCCCCTGCAGAGCCCCCTTCTCCACTCCCACAGCAGCTCTGCAGGCCAGAGAACACCTGGGGAATCACAGAAAAAGACCCCAAAACTGGAGCCCACCATGCCACCAAGGAAGAAGCCCCAGGTGCCCCCCAAACCTGCACACCTAAGCCAGCTACCCCCTCCTCAGAGGCTGCCCAAATCCTCAGGTCCCGGTTCCTCCAAGAGAGTGGAACAAAGAGAATACAAACAAGGTGAGCCAGATGCAGCCACTCCTCGGCTGGCCAAGGTCCCTCCCGCTACTGTGGACCAGGGCCGAGTATCTCTGTCTGGATGCCCCAGTGGACAGAGCCAGCCCAGCCTCCAACATGGCCCCAGCAGTCTAACCTCCAAGCCCAAGAGTCAGGCAATGGTCAGTAATGCCAAGAACCCTGAGCCCCCTAAGTGCTCAGCTCTCAACAGTGACCCCACCTCACCCCAGCAGCATCCTAGCCCCCCAGGAGAGAAACCCAAGGAAGATCCCCAGCAAGGGGCCACTGAGATTCTACAGGGAAGCCAGCAAGAGCTCCGAGGCCTCCTGAGCCAGGTGCAAGCCCTAGAGAAGGAGGCCGCAAGCAGTATGGATATGGGGGCTCTGAAGAGGCTCTTTGAGGCCATGCCTCAGCTGGAAGGGTCCCCTCAGGCTCCTGCTGCTCCCTGCAAGCCTGAGGCCTCAGTGGAGCAGGCCTTTGGAGAGCTGACAAGAGTCAGCGCCGAGGTGGCCCGGCTGAAGGAACAGACCCTGGCGAGACTGCTGGACATTGAGGAGGCTGTGCACAAGGCCCTCAGCTCCATGTCTAGCCTGCAGCCTGAGGCTAACACCAACAGTCATTCCCAGGGACCCCCAAAGGACCACAGTGTCACAGACAACATCACAGCCAAGTCCAACTGCTCAGGACAAGAAGTCAGGGGTCAACCTGCAGTCAAGAACCAAATGGAGGTTACAAGCCATGCTGAGGTCCAGAGTCAAGCCAAGGTCAAAAACCACACAGAGGTCAGAGGTCAAGCAGCCTCAACGGCCCCTTCCACCAGGGAGCTGGAGACACTGAGAGACGATTTGGACCGCCCTCGAGTCTTGCCTTCCAGAAGAGATTCACCCTCCTCCCCAACTTTCATCACCATCGAGTCAGGTACAAAAAAGCCTCCGGAAACTCCCAGACCCAATGTCTCAGTGAAAAGCACACTCCTGACCCAGGATGTGGACCAGGCCCCGCTCCAGCAGAAAGATGCCCCCGACAAGGCTGGAAAGAAGGAGATAAGCCAGTGTTCCGGACGACCTGAGTCTGCCTCTGCCTCTGCCTCAGCCAGCCCCCTGCCCAGAAAGCGGGAGAAGAGTGTTCTGGAGCTGCAGACCAGGCCAGCTGGCCACCAGTGCTATGGAGCTACAAGAACCGTGACTGAGCAATACGAGGGGGTGGATGAGTTCGGAAACACAGTCATGTCCTCCTCCACAGTCACAGAGCAGACAGAGCTGCCCAGGGGCCCAGGCCCCCATCTGGAGCTCCACATCTCCCCCCTGCTGCGGCAGTTCCTGCAGAGAGACCTGGCACAAGTCGGGATGGGGCACGTGGCCTGTGACCACTTCTAGCCAGCTGCCCAGTGAGCCCCTCCACCTTCCAACTGCCTACCTGGTAACTCCCTCCGGAACCCCAGGACAGGGGTGGGTGCCATCCTCCTACACACATGAGTCAAGGACCAAGGAGAAAGGGCATCTTCCAAGACTTGTGGGTGCTTTCCCTTCGTCAGTTCCAGGTCTGTTTCTTGCAAAAGGAGGGAAGAAAGGGAAGAGGCCAGCCGAGCAGCTCAGGCGTGAGAGTAGGAGGGAGGCCTGCAGCTGCTGCAGGGGATGCCATCTGTACAGACACACTGCTCCTCACGCAGGCCCGGCCCTGTGCCAACACGTGGAGCCTGCCTGCCACCGCCTGAAATGGAGTCCCCTGAGTGAACCTCCACCTTCAGTTTTGTTTTTTGTTTTGTAATCACAAGTGAAAACATTGTCGGCCATCTGTTCCTTGACTCCTGGAGAGGACAGGGCCAAGAACACGGGACAGGTCTCTGTTAGGGGTGGGTCTAAGGGCTCCAGAGGCTGTGGCGCAGCCCTTCATCACCATCTCCATCATCCAGCTGGTCACCCTAGATACCCCAAGGACACCACAGAAAGGGTCAGCGATCAACAGTGTCCCTAGAAACCCAATGGACTGCTTCTTTGCCCCCACCGCCCTACACTCTACACCCCAAATGGGAAGGACACATTCTAAATAAACACAAGTTTTATTCTCTGCTCTGCTGTCTGTGAATCTGTTCCAGAGTCAGGGTTCCCACTGTGGGGAAAATAGCTATCACCCTCAGGTGCCCCATTTTTCTGGCAATGGCAGTAAGGGAAAGCTCTGAAAAGCCACCCCTGTTCTACCATCTTGAATGGGAACCAGAAATGTCTGCCCTCTCCCCTGTTCTCCTTGCTTTCATGCCGGTCCCCCCGCCCCTCCTCTCCACACACACATACTGTTGCTTCTCGACCTCTGGCCTCCCTTCCTGGAGGTTCTTGGACAACACCTGGAGTGGAATCCGACCAGAATCCTGCTCCAAAGTGGGAGAGTAGCCCAATGAGGCCCAGAAAAGAGAGAGGGCCGCGTGCCAGGAGAACTCGGGTATCCAGGAAAGTTGGGCTGCTTCCCCCTACTCAGCCCAGCTGATGTGCGTGTAGCAGGAGCTCCTGGGAAGAGGAGTGTATGGGTCCTGGCCTGGGAAGCCAAGTGATTTGAGGAATGATTTTCACTCTTTCAAAAGTCCTGAATGCCTGCGGCGTGACAGGCATATTCTTGGCAGCTGGGACACAGAGTGAGGTCTAATGGGTCCTGCTCTCAGGGAAATGACTTTCTAGAGATAATAACAAACAACAGAAACTAAACAAAAGGGAAAAAAACAGATCAAGAACAAGGGTAACGCACCTACTCCCACTCTGGGGTAGGAGTCTTAAAATATGTTGATATGACAATGATGGGTGATTGCCTTAGAGGACTAGGCCAAGGGAAACCTCATTGAAAGGTCCATGCAGGAGGCCAGAATGCAAAAACCCACCAGGAAGCCCACCTGGGAACAGGAATGCGGAAGCCTGCCGAAAGGATTCAGACAATGAACCTTCCCCCTCCCTACAAATCTTTTCTCAGACAAAGAAACTCCCCCCCCACCCCCGCACAAACTTTTTCCCGCCATAGGAGCCCAGTCTCCCACCTGACCTCTCCTCCGTGAGGTCCGCCCGGGTCACAATAAATTTTCCCTTCCTCTGAGAAATTTAGCCTGGCTCTCCTTTTCTTTACCACGCCAAACCTTTCACTCATGAAGGAAAAAAATAACTCACATGAGATCTGAATAACAAAGAGCCATTTATATAAAAATCAGAGGGAAGTGACTGCTAAAGGTAGAGCACCCGCACTAACCCAAAAGAGGGAATACATTTAGTTTCTCCATTTCCTGAATATCGACTCATAGGAAGGGGCTTTAGGTTCCACTCCCCAAGCCTCCCTTCTCTCACAAGGTTACGTGGGAACTTTCCACGCTTTGCTTCCAGTGAATAGGTAGGCCCCTATTTTACTGCTAGGCTGGGGCTCAGCCCTCCACACCCCTCACAGTCCCTCATGGTCCCACTCATATGGGTGCTCTGACCTGGAAGAAGCCCACCCCCTGTGGAAGACTGCAGCTGGCGGACAATAAAGAGAACAAATCTACCCACCTGGGCCCACTCCCCACAACTAACTAGGCCCCTCACCACATGTCCCCAGCTTTCTCCGTGCTCTTGTTATAGTGGGCACAACTCTAGTAAGTGCTACTGAGGAGTAGGTATACTGAATATCACTATACGGTTCTTTTTTTTTCCTAGTTAAACAATGATTTTATTGCTTGAATACACAAATTTATGCAACCAGGGCAGAGGCTGTGGATGACTCATATTTCCAATTGGGAGGGAGGACCCATTTAGTCTTGTAATAGTGAGCCTGTTATAGGACAGGAAGAGGGGCAGCCCAAACCCCGCAAACCTGCCTATTCTAAATGGGTTCTGCCATCCGCCGCATCAACACAAAACATATGAGACTTTAATGAAAAGGAACTTTAATAAAACTAGGAAACAATACAGGAAAGGCAAAGAGTCTAGTTTCTAAATGAAGCACCCAAAGTTACCCGTCCCCTCGTGGGTAAAAGTCCATCCAAATGGGATTGGTCCAGAACAAGGCCCCAAAGCCTGCCACAAGTCTAAAGCATCTTCCAGTGGGGACCCACAGCAAAGGGTCACAAACAACCGGACAAGCCCGGAAGGAAAAGAGCAAAATCAACATCAAGATAAAAGCTGCCATTGTCACCTCCCCACGGGTCTCACCCACATCTGTGTCACCCAGTCCACGACCAAAAGACAAGCACAGTTTCTTCACGTGTCTCTAGGCTCCATGCGCCTCCTCCAGGTCTCCTGGCTCCATCCTGCTTCCTTCCTTCCTCGTCTCTTCTGCAGCTTCTCCTCTTCCTGCTCAGCTCCACCCTCCCTTGGGAGGGGCAGGGAACCTCCCCCTTTCCTGGGGACCACCCTGTTACAATCCCCCCTTTTAATTTTTATTCCACCATATCTATGGTGGCACAATCTCAGGGTGTAGTCTTAGGAGACAGTCTTTTTTAGGGTTACAATGTGTGTAAGAGAAGCAACAATTAGTCAGCAGCATTGTCTATGAATGTCCAGTATGACAGTTTCATTACTTAAAAATAGTCCATTATCCAAGCCAAAAGAAAAAAATTTGGAGCATTGGCTAAAACAAGACAGCAAATATATCAAAATCACAGTTAAAAAATGTTAAAATGGTTCAACTGATGTAAAACACAAATTTTCTCAACCTTGATCCCAAACTTTTAACAGCATAGCAAAAATTTTGCAAACTAAATCTACTTTTAAACCATTTTTCCTATTTTTGCATAAAATCACAGGGTAGAAATAACTAACAGCAATTTTTAGCTGGCTTTGTTGAAATATTCCATACAGGATCAGAGCGAACCGGTGGCATCCAGTCGATGTAGGCTTCAGGTATAACGTTGGTCTCATCAGACTCCACCTGGGCTTTCCTCTTCTCGAGGGTACCAGGGCATTTTCGTTGGCCGGGGTTGTCCAGTCCTGCCAATGGAGGCAAGCTTCCTCACCTTCTTTGGAGGTCTCTGGAACCCTACAAACAAGGCAAACAGGTTCTCCTCTTCTTGGTTCAGCTCTTTTTCAACTTTTTGGAAGAACTCCACACAAAGCCACACAATCAAACTCACGTCCAATTTTCGTTAAAACAGACAAAATCCCTATGGAAGTTATGCAAAAACAGACTCTGAAATAAGTAGCAAAAATTACTACCACTATTTGTATGCCGTGTTGGTATCAAGGGGAGAGAAAATGTGACAAGTTAGCTTTGCTGGAAAAAAAATTGCAACCTTGCTGCAGATCCTGGTCACCAAAACAAGAGATCTTTGTGGATTTAGAACAAAATGCAAAAAAAATCATCAGTATTATGTCAAAGAAAAACTTAGTGAATATCAGGTGTATTTCCAGGTCTATTCAGTCCTTAGTAGGAAAGTTTTTTACTCTCAACAGTTCCATCAATAGGAATCTATTGAGACCTTTTTTCCCTATATTTCCAGAAACAATTTCTGTAGATGTGAAACAATTGAATTATACAATATTACAAGGTGACAATCACCACTGACAATTTACATACATACCCGATACTAATGTTAACATATTGGACATACCAAAGTTTTTTTACCATTTTCCCAAGTGACAATGCTTCCCTTTCAGTTTTACTTCATTAGGTAAAAGCCAAATAGAACAAATTTATGTAATGCTTTCCCAGGAGGAAAAGGAGAAACTTCGTGGAGTGTCTCAGGAGCTCTACTGAGGTTCCACAAAATTTCCTTGCATCAGTCAAATGACAGGCCACCAAATTTGTACTTGAATTTAGATTTCTGGGAAGCTTTGCCATAAATATCAGAAAAGTAACAGAAACAACAATATTCAATCTCTATGAAGGCACCGGCTTAGTTCAGTAGCACAATGTTGACAATCAAACCATAACTTTTTGTTTTTCTCATAACTGGAGACTCTTTTTTTTTTTTTTCCAACGTCTATGGGCACCATGTATACCAATCTGTCAATCACTGGAGGTCAAGACAGACAGAAGGACATACAGACATACAACATATAGACAAAGACAGTTTTTTTTTTTTTTAGTTATGCCACGTAGAATATGTTATGTAACTGCAGTTTTACTCCATAGGCTCAGAAAAAAAATATCAAAGTCCAAAAAAAATGTGGAGTGTTGCTGGCAGAAAAATTTCCAGTTGTCATCCTGCAAACCTAAGACTTTGGAAATAGGAAGGAAAAGTTTTATTAATCACAAGAGTTGCATGACCTTGTTTATCACCTTAGGGTTTTCAGTGTTGAAGACTTTTTATTAGAAGTCCATCCTGGGGTATTCTGTACAGCAACTGAAAGAATAAAAATAACAGTTAACTTTTAAGCAAAAGGAGTCATCTCTTGTTAGCCACCAAGCAGGCACTCCTTGGGTTTCC